ATAATATGAAAATTATGATGAGGACTTAAACAACTGCTTGGAAGCAGTCAGTAGGTAATTCCTGCCTGATGAGGGTTAATCACTGTCATGTGACTTGTTGATAACCTCCAGGGGCTTGTGAATTCTTCTTCCCTGTCTCTGCCTGGATGGGTGAGATTCAGACCCAGGTCTGTCGGTGCTAAAGCAGGAGTCTCCTACACATATCAAACACTCCAGGAAGCAGGTCAGTTCTCCAAGGAGGAGAAACTACTTGTGAAACTCATTCATTATTAATATCTTTTTGTTAGTGCAGAGAACGGTATATTCAGTGAATGGGTTTATAAAACGTTGTGCCCCAAATACAGAAAAAGTAATAAGGTAGATGGTTTGATTTTTTGTAAACCAGTCAAAGGAAACCATTTAGTTCATATCTACCTATGTTTTAAAACATCTCAAACCATTACTGAATGCTTTAAACTCTACAAAATGGAAGCTAAATATTTTTAAATTGCAAAGAGGAGCAAAGACTGTTAAGTTAATCATTAAAAATAGGCTGGTAGAAAATCAATGTATATTTTACAATGTCAAATGTTGCTTACTAGAATCAAACCATGTATTTTTAATGAACCATTTGTTGAGTGTGCCTCTGGGAAAGGAATTATGTTTACAGCTCTATTAGAAGAAGCAAGAAAAATCTAAGTAGAACAACCTTCTGGAATATTAAACACAAAAAACTTGAACTCCTCATATGAGCAAGGCCCTTATGTATGGAAAAGAGCAAGAAAATCAAAACAAAAATCAAAACCTGAGTATGGATAAGACACAAGGAAAAAGTGTTAGCAGAGCGTTTAGAACTTGAAAAACATACTATGAAGGCACCAGAAAATACAAAGCTGCTGCTGCAGAATCTTACTTCAAAGCATTGTCATCTTTTATCCTGTACTTCATACCTGCTCTACTCAGCAGGACAAGCTGATGCACCAGACAATCTGAGCTTAGTTTCCACTGAAGTATTGTGAAGCCAGCTCTCTTTTCTAGTTTAACACTCCATGGACTTGAACCCTTTAATTCCTTTATCAATGCCCCTGCCTCAAGAACTCTTTGTAGTGCTTCTGATTGTATAAATATATATTCACATAACTTTAATACTTAATTTAAAGGAACTCACAAATTCATATTTTAATTTCCCCCCCATATTAAATATTCTCAAGGATTTCAGCTTTAAACACATGCTCCAGCATTGGAGGAAGTCTCATGCCTTGCAGAAATGATGTTATCCTCCTAGGTATCCTAGTTTAATACCTTAACATGAAAAGCATCCCAGGTCTGCAAGGGAAGAATAAGGAACCATTCCTGGGATTACAGCAACCCTTCAAATAGATATAGAATGATGCTTCCACCACCCTAAATCCATCAGACATTACAAGCAAAAATGGGACAAAAATGGACAAATACCTCACTGGTTGAGCTTTCAATAAATGATCCTCCAAACATAGCAGACATCCATTCACAGCTACAAATCAGCAGTGGCTTGTGGGCATTGATGGTTCCATCATCCAATTTGAATCTCACGTCTGCCATGGGAACAAAGGAAGAGGCAAGCTGCAAGTCTGCATTTCAACTGAAACTCAAGAATGACTGCTTCACTTGCACATTGTTAACCAAGGACTTTTTCCACTGCCCATCACCCCCACCTCAAAGGTAACTCTAGCATTATATACAGTTAAATAAAAAGCTTCACTTAAAAAAGAGATATTGGATGTTAAACATTACGAAAAGCTGGGTCACTTATTTAAAAGCTTCTGAGGAGATTTTGAGAAATTAAACTGCAGAATCCCAGTTAGAACAGTTGGCCCTGAGTAACACTATGAGTTTGAGCTCATCCCTCCACTCAGAACAATGTAAGCTGTCACTTTTGACGTCTGTGAAGCAAGGGTAGTGTGAAGGAGAAAAAAATGAGTGCTTTTGCTGTTAACTCATGTGTTCACTTACCAGAAAATGTCCCTTTGCAAAGGCACTCTTTTATCCGATTAGCTTTTCTGACATGAAATGCTTTCGTAATCTCTTGATTCATGAAGGCTTCTTTATTCATAATATTCTCCACCATCATTCGCAAATCAAATACTTCCAAGATTTCAGCAATCTGAGCTAGTCTTGTGAGGTCTTTTTCGTTTTCATCCAGTTGCCCTGTGTATAAAAACTGCAAAACGGTTTTAAAAGGTCCGGCCTGCACAGATGAATCCATTTTCACCACAGTTACAGGACACGTCCTGTTTGAGACAGGATTCACTTGCATTTCCTTATGCACACTAACAAACCCCTTACCCCATGATGACAGAGATCTTGCTGCAGGATTTGTTTCACCAGGTTCGGGTTCTAGCATGTTGAAAGAGTCAGTACTTTCTGGTGGGAGAATCTTAACATCAGCAGCTTTCAAGGATGACTCGTCCCTGTCACCACTTGTCTCAAGGTGACTTGTCAAAACATCCTGATTTGTATTTTCTTTATTACACTGTGTTTCACCCAAGTCTTGACTTTCCTCACATTCCATTAAGAAGAGGTCATAAAACTTTGAAGAAGAGGTAGCTAGATAAATCTTGTGAGCAAAAATGTAGTCCTGCTCCTGGAGAACAAACATAACATCTGCACACAGTGGGCTGTCCAATAAATATCCAGCTTCATTCATGCTTGGTACAGGACATTCAGGTATTTTGATAACTGGAGGAGGGGCTTTTGGAGGTAGGAATGGAGCCTGAAGCAAAGGTTTTTGGACCTTCTTCAAATGAGATTTCCAGAACTGCAGGTGTCTTCTGGAGATCAGGGCAGCTCTGATTGCATTGTCAAACACATCTTTAATCCCAAACTGGTCAAATACACTGGTTTCATAGTATGGTATCCCAAGTTCCTTGGCAACCTCTCTGCCTCTTTCTGGTGGCAAAATGTCTCCTCTTTTTATTGGCCTAAGGTTAAACAAAAAATAAACCTTTTCACATGCAGTGATCATCACAAAGTTACTCCAGAAAGCAATGAATTTTGCAAAATGTCTCAGCTACAATTCTGAGATAACTACCATTCAAATGAATCAAAATATAAAATTAAGCCCACAAGGCCCTTTGGAAATCTACAACCTTGACTCCAGAGCGTTTTAGAATAGCACATACTTATAATTTTAAGTCTTGTCATGTAGAAATAATTTGCACAAAACGGAGCAAATCTTCTCTCTGTTAAAGGGAAATTTACAGTAAAAAAAAAAATTGATCAGATGTTTAAGAACCTTCATTATTTAAAGAACTTCCTAACATCTCTTTCTACTCATATATTCTGTCAGTACCTTTCTTTGTATCCATCATTTAAACTCAAATGGAAATTCTCATGATATAGAAATGCCACAAATAAAGCTAAATATGAAAAGAGAATATTTCTTAAGCTTATGCTTTTTAAAGAAAATTACAGTAGCTGATAACAAAAGTGTAACTGAACACACCCTTCAAGAGATGTTTTAGTTGTAGAAGCATTATGTGGGAATTCATGAATTTCCAGAGCAGCTCTAGTACACGACATGGAGTAAACAAACCAGAAAAAAAGTCTGGGCTAGGATCCATTTTCCCAACAAAAAAATCACCTCACCAGAAGACGTGACCCAACAGTGTGTTCTTTGAGCATAACATATTGGGCAGACACAAGCTGGCACAGACTTAACACACTCCAGACAACAGCTTGCTTTAATCTCCAGCTACTAATCAGTTCAGGTGGCAGAAGTCTGTGCTAGACATGCAGAATACTGATTCCCACTTTTTAATAGTGAAATCAGAAAGGAGATTAGGGCAGAAGAATGTTGGGTTTTGAAAAAAAAATCTCCTTTTAAATAGTCAACCAAAAAGCTCACCCCACCCACATGGTGAAGAAATGTACAATAAACCAACTTACAAAAATCATATTGCCGAGTCAAAAATTTTAATGCAATGCATGCAAAGTTTTCTATGAGCCCATGAAATATTATTTCAGTCCCTTTACAGAGATTTTTTATAATACAGTCTTTAATGACATGATCACAGATATTATTTCCACTAATCTAGTCTCATTCAAAATCACATAAAAAGAGGAAATGCAAAGTGAGCAGTTAAATTGTGAAACTATTTTGCCCAAACATGAATGTTTGTCTTTTGAACCTGGGAAAAAACACAGCTTCTCCAGAATGACTCCAAAGTCTTTTTTAATCTCAGAAGTTAAAAAATTTATTTTGAAACCATTTTATTTTCTGCCATGATCTAGGATTACATTTACAAAAAAGTAACAACTGAGAATTAGGAGAACTTAAGTAGAGTCCATCAGTCTAAAACAGTACCTGACATAGTGACAGGGCAGGACATGATATGTATGTTCAGATGGAGAAAGACATATATGAAAATCTCCAGTAATCATTATTATCTCTATAATATCATAGTGTTCAGACACCCACACAAGTTTATCTGTCAAACGTGCAAAAATATTATGGAAAACGCATAATAAATGTGTTTTTTTACAAAACAAACAAACAAAAGAATAATAAAGGAAACTAGGCTCTATCATTTCTCTTTTGAAAGTATTGTACCTGATTAACAAGGTAATTTTTTTAAAGAAATCTTACTTTTGCTTCAACTTTACCTTGCCAAGGGCCGTCTGGCTCTGTTGACAGCCTCCAGATCTGCGTAGCGGAGATCGAGTTGGCAGCCCACCAGAATGACAGGGGTGCGAGGGCAGAAGTGCTTGATCTCTTGATACCACATCGTTTTCACATGGTTCAGGGAATTAGGATTAGCAATTGAAAAGCACAGAACAACTACATCAGACCTAGAAAGGCAACAAGAAAACATCCAGTTAAAAGCCAAGAAACGCGCTTGGTGCTGCAGCTTTACCTGTTTTCATCACTCCAGCTTAAATCTGCTCTGCTCTACACTTTGAAACATGCTGACACCCAGATGTCAGGATACATGTTGTTCGTGCAGAGGTTTAATAGAAGCTACACATTTCACCACAAAGGCATGGGAGCACAAAGCCACACACCCAGGAAGCACTGCCCCTCTATGCTGAGAGATGATCCCTGCACCTACGGACAGAGCATGGAGAGACAGGGCTCACCATTCTCTGCTTTTGCTTATGCACAGCCTGTCATTGCTCAATAAATAATCCTGCTGACTAGACACCTAAATTGCAATTCAAAGATCATTAGTTCTTAGGAATCAGACAGGAATTATGCAAAACTTCAGACACAGACCACTTCTGAACTCGTCATGGAGAAATACCTTTATTGCACTGTTTTAGATACTGGGGTGGTCTCCTTTGCAGTGCACTTTGCACATCAGTTTGCTAACACCTTTAATAAATAACTTGGCAAATTACTGCAGAATGACCACTTCTACAATGTAAATAAGAATAAACATCACAACAAAAATAAGGTCAGTGAAGTATAGAATAGGACAGTGGCTTACATTGGAATAAGCACGACAATATTCGCAGGCTTTTAAAGATTTTAAGAAAACAAAAAATGCTTCACTAAATAAACTTGCTTTAAAAATTGTAGTTATGAGGATTAACGTTGGCAGTTAACCCACTAAAGCAGCACTTAACTCTTGTCAGAGCTAACACCCTAAGGCAGAGAAATGCTTGAATACTCATCTCAGGGCATTC